CGTGAACCGCTTGCCATTTAATATATTGGCAAGCAGTTCAACCCCAAACCGCTTGCCATTTAAAAAAAACCCTAAATCCGCACACCCCTTATTTTATTTGTCTCTCTCCTCTTTCTTTACTGATCAGCTCTCTCTCTCCTCTTTCATTTTGGCTGCTGTCTCTCCTCTTCCATTTTCCCTCTCTCTCCTCTCCTCTTCCCTCTAATTCGCCCCTTTCTTATTTCAATTTCTCTTTTTCTTTGTTCTTTCTCATCTCATCAAATTTGAACCATAACCGGGTAATTTCGAGCAAAATTTGAAGATAATTTCGAATAATTCCGAGCAAATTCGTGCATGCGTGTAGGTGTTTAAGTTTTTTAGGTCAAATTCGACCATGAAAACTCTAGATCTAGAGTTTTATGGTCGAATTTGACCTTTAAAACCATAATTTGAAGCCAAAATCGGTGGGTTAGATGGTCGTGGTGGGTTAGATCGAAGGTTTTTTTTATTTTTATTTTGATTTTAGTTTTATTTTTTATTTTAATTTGATTTTTGGTGGGGGTCGTGGTGGGTGGGGGTCGTGGTGGGTGGGGGTCGTGGTTTGTGTTAGGGTCGTGGGTGGAGATCGTGGTTTGGGGTGGGGATCTGGTTTGGTTGGTGGGGTCGTGCGTGGTTTTGGTAAGGGGTTTTTTGGTGGGTGGGGATTTGGTTTTGGGGGGTCATGGTGGGTGGGTGGTTGGGGGTTGTGGGTTTTGGTGAGGGATGTTTTTTTGGTGGGTGGGGATCTGGTTTTGGGGGGGTCGTGGTGGGTGGGTAGCTGGGGGTTGTGGGTTTCAGTGAGGGGGTTTTTTGATGGGTGGGGGTCGTGGTTTGGGTGGGGGGTCGTTGTGGGTGGGTGGCTAGGGGTTGTGGGTTTCGGTGAGGGGTTTTTTTTTGATGGGCGGGGGTCGTGGTTTGGGTGGGGGGTCGTGGTGGGTGGGTGGTTGGGGGGTTTTTTTTTGGTAGGTGGGGGTCGTCGTGCTGGTGGTGTGGGGTGGTGGCTGCCTGGCTGGTGGTGTAGGGTGGTGACTGGTGGTGTGTAGTGGTGGCTGGTGGTGTTTGGTGGTTGAAAATCATAAATTGTAATTATTATTAATTTTTTTTTGTGATTGAAAATCAGAAATTGTAATATTATAACAATTAATTAATAAAAATATTAATGTTTTTATATATGGTTTGATTGTGTATCAATTTAATTGAAAAAAATAAATTATTTTTAATACCCCTAATGGGCAGCGGTTTGGCGCCAAAACCGCTGCCCTTTCACTACAATTGGCAAGCGGTTCTGAACCGCTTGCCATTTAAAAGACCAATTGGCAAGCCCCCTAAAGGCATGCGGTTCAGAACCGCTTCCCATTAGGGGGTTTGAACCGCTTGCCATTACGTATTTTCTACTAGTGCTTGTTGGTGGCTTTGGAAGTGGAGAAATGCGAGAAGTTTTGATCGAGAGATTGATATTCCATTCGATCAAACGAGCTACATTGCAGCGAGGGTCAGTGATATTCATAGAGCATGGAACACAATTGCTAAACCTGAGAAGAAAAAAAGAAAGCGAGAAACTGTGCTTATAAGATGGGAACTCCCCCCTATAGGGTGGGTAAGTTTAAATACAGATGGGGCCTCGAAAGGCAACCCAGGTGCTGGTGGAATTATCCGAGGAGACAATGGTGAAATCCATGAGGTTTTTGCGTTGAATTGTGGAACATGTACGTGCAATAGAGCTGAACTGTTGGCAGTACTTAGAGGGCTTGCGATAACATGGAATGGTGGACATCGAAGAGTACAACTTCGAGTGGATTCTGAAGTTGTTCTCCGTTTGTTGGTGGATCCTACACCTACAAACTCTCCTTTTATTCATATTATTAAAAAGAGCAAAGCTTTACTTGGGAGAAATGGATGGGAAGTTCGGATCTAGCATTGCTTTAGGGAAGCTAATAGAGGTGCGGATTGGCTTGCAAATTATGGAGTTTCCTTGGAGCAAAAATTGATTATCTTTGAGGCGATCCCGGGGGATCTTAGGGTCGTTTTATTGGAGGATTTAGGGGGTATGGCGCTGCCTAGGCAAGTGCCGAAGAATAAAACTTAAGCTACCTTGCTTAAGTTAGTAGTTTAGTTGTTTTTCTTTTTATTTTCTGCTTTGTTCTTTTTCGTAGTTTTTTTTTTTTGCTTTCTAGTTTGTAGCTCTTTCTTCCTTTTTGGGGCTTGCCCCTCGTTCTCACCAAAAAAAAAAAAAAAAAAAAAAAATTCGGTCAAATTTCTTTTTGCACATTTTATTCAAAAAATATGCATATTCAGTGAAAATTTTATGCACATAAATTCCTTCTCATTTTAAGAAACTTCTCATTTGACCCTAAGGGTCTGTTCACTTCAACTTAATTTCAGTTCAGTTCAGTTTTGTTCAGTTCAGCTCTTAATTTCCCTCTCTCATAAAATATTCATTTTTAACTATATTCAGTTCAGTTCAGTTCAGCTCCAATCAGTTCAGCTCAGTTCAGTAAATGTGAACAGGCCCTATATATATATATATATATATATATATATATATATAATGGATTAGATGGAGAAAATAATGAAATATGAAAAGTGATTATAATAAAAAAAAAGTATATAAAAATTAACTAATAAAAAAAAACTACATTCAATAAAAAAAAAAAAGGAATATCAATTTTGGACAAGATACAAAATTTAGAAAATCTTTGAAAAATAAAAAAAATATCCTTTTTCTTATCATTTATCATATCTAATGATAAAACTTTATTACCACCTTAAATTCAACATTATTTCAATCCTATATAAACCCATCTAATCAAAAGGTCGTTTTATTATTGAAAGACCACTCAAAGATCGATTTATTTTTGACAATTTTTCCTATTAACTTTAATTTGAAAATAACTACCTTATACATAAAATTTGTGTAGTTAGCCGGCTTAGCCCTACCAAACAGAAGTTTGGATGATTTTCGTTTAAAAGCAGTGCTAACAAGTAACAACCCAAAATGTTAGGTAATTAAAATAACTGATTTGGATCAGTTATAATTTTCTTTTCTAAATACGATCTAAATTTCAATACGATCTAAATTTGCCTTGACCAATGAACGTGTAATATAATAAGGCTAACTAGCTAAGCTATTGTGGATCAACGCGGAAGGTTCCAATGGATGCAGCCATTGATTCCTCATCCACACGAATGGAAAATTAAAGCAAAAAAAGCGAATTGCACGAGCAACATGCAGGATAATGGCTATCACAACAACAATTCAAATAAAGACGAGCATTGAAATACCCACTTGAGCTCATACTAAGTTGCAGATCATGTGCTTATCAGTCAAGGAAACAGGATAGCACCTCAACAACTTACATTTTATAATAGTGTAGGAGTGTTATCTAAGTGTATTCACTCACAAATCACAATAATAATGTGGAAGATGATGCATAAGATAATATAAGGTTCTCTGACAGTATGTATTGTGTAAAGAAACTGCCTGGCTTCTGATCAAGTGCACGTAAACTCGAATGGTCCCCAAAACTCAATGGTACTTAACATATGACAAGTACTCCAGAGCTATAATTGAGATGGACCAAGGACACTACGAAAGGCCATTAGATGACTAAAGAATGGCATTGACAGATATCGGTACACATGGAGATCCACAAAACTGCATCGAAAAAACAGAATAGTCCGTGTGGTACCTTTCACAATTTGCACGTCTGCTTACTGCAAGAGACAACATGAAATTAATCATGCTTGAACTCACATATCACCATCTCTTGCGTGCTTTGTTCTTATATCCGCCCCCTCTCCCTGAAGGTGTTGAGAGTTGGGGAAAAAATGTTGTATAGTATACAAGCAATATTAGAAAATAGCAACAACTTTACAAAAATCATGCATCAGTTACAGACTTGCAGGTTTATAAACATTAGGAATCAAAACAGAAAATGTGCACAAGGCAACTGTTATTCTCCAAATATAATGTCTCAAGTTGCATTTTTTTTTTCACCTATACTCAAACTCATAAAATCTTGATGCAGCTCAAAAATGATATCATTTTAAGTAAATGCGTATATAATTTTATCCTAATCAATGAATACACTGATGCTCATGGGGAATGGCATTTATCGTTAATTATAGAAAACAGAGAAAAATGGTGTAAATCGAGGAATCTGTAATCTCTATTTCATAAAGATAAGATTGTTTAAAGATCTTAATTACGTAGTCTTTCTGTTAATGGAATCTCAAGATTCTTAACAGCTCACTGTTTAGTGATATGCTGTATGATTGAGTTTATCAAGGAAGGATTACATTATTGTTACATGTAAATGGAGTAATAATGTGAATAACTAAAGCCTTATGTATTACACGGTTACACCACATAATGCAGGATAAGAAGACGAATGAGTTGCATTCCCGAGATGGAAATAAAGATCGAGCTTGAATGATAGTTAGACAATCACAGCATAAGCAACATACAATAGTTGGCCTTGGAGACATCCGTGTAGTTCACATAGGTGAGGCCGATAATTAATGAATATAGAGATGGCAACTGGATACTTTAGAAGGGTTTGGTTAAAGTTGATCAAATTCTAATGGATCATCTATGATACTGTAAACTTCCTCTAAGTCATGAGTCATCTGGTTCAATATCGGTTTTGGACCTAGTCATATTCAGGTCTGTTATTTTTCTTTATCATAATTGCAGAACAATTATTATATATGATCATATTGATTTTAGGATTGGTTTAGTTGATTTAGTTAGAGTTTATTACGAACTTCAGTCAAGTAACTTTAGGTTGGGTGATTCGATATTGGCTAGTTCTGTCCAACTTAACAAGGAGGTATAATGATGCAAGAGTATAAAAGTATACACAATATAATTATGCTGCAAGAGAAATGTGGCTTAACAAGAGTATTATGTATTAAAGAATCAATGAATGCTACAAAATATCCTTATCTTTACAAAACTTGCTGCCTAAATAACATAATAATTATTGGTTAAGTAAATTGAGAAGGGAAACCCTTGTTTTAATAAAGCATCTTGAGACAGACTGCATAGAGTTCTCGAGTTCTTGAACGATTGTTTCTAACGTATCTAATTTGTTCATCACATCCTTTGTTTCAGCAGCCGAGTACTTATCAGACAGAGCACACAGGGCATGATCAATGTACTCTACTTCTGAAAGATTATCAGCATCAGTAGATACAGTTTTGGATTTAACAAGTTTCGCAACCAAGGACCAACCGCGTGTTTGAGAGATTTTCTTCCCCATTATGAATGGAAGAAGAGACTTTAAAGTTGTTAGACAGATAGTTTCAGTCTCTTTTAGAGTTCTTATAATGGCACAGGCATTTTCTGACTGTGCTAAGGCACGGCTTTTCTCTGATTTCTTCAGTGTCAGAAGACACTTAGAAAGCACCTTGTTAACTTTCTTTCTTGAGATCACATATGAATGAACACCTACATCAACGGTCCCTCTACGAAGAGCTGATTTAAGGTCTAGAATGGATTGATTCATTTGAGACAATGCATCGAGTGCAGAGCTAGATGCGTCTAGCAATGCAAGAGATCCATCTAGAACCTCTTCAACCTCAACCCTATAGTGTTTATGTGAAAGGATTTGTTCGTTGTGTGGTAAACGAATCAAGTCGTTCATTTGCTCATGCAAATCCTTCACACTGCACAAGCTTTGACATAAAGAAGACGAAGATGAGGGTGTTGCTTGTGAGGCCTTTAGCCCGCGGAGGTGACTCTCAATGTTTGCATCAAGTGGGTGAGATGTGGATGGTAGACTGGCTGAACGGTTGTGCAAAGAAGTTTTTGGAATTGCCATTTTCTAAACTTTTTTTAAAAAGAACTTTAAGCCTTTACTAAAAACTAAGGAATAGAAGATATGTTATGTTGCTTAATTACTACAAAAAGCCTTGGCCAACCTCTATATTTATATACAATAACCGAAGTACACGAGTGGCATGCAGGAGATTGGAAGACACAAAAAGGACAAGCATTTAGTTTCTCACATGAGCTCCATTATTCAATTGCACATAGATCAAGTGGTGTGCAGACTTGATTTAGGCGTGTAAGCGTAAAAAATATACTCTTGGATAGTAAACTTGATCCTGAATGGTAAAAGGTTAATTTGCTATAATCGTATATTCGTGTCATTCGATGACTGTGAAGGTCATACATAAATGAGAAGTGGAGGATTGAGAGAATCACCAGTTGGCACTGTCAAACACGGGTCTGGGCCGCACCCGCAAACTAAGAGAGAGATTCCACTTCACAAGTCCAAGGAGGTTCCATCCCAATACGGCAATAGGAGGAGTAGCCCCTTAGCTAGCCTTATAAAGTGTTTAACTCTCTCTTCTTCAACCAATGTGGGACACTTACATGTGGTGACACATGAGAGGTTTATTCTTCAACACTCCCCCTCACATGTAAGGTCCCTTTTAACTTTGTCTCATGTGATTTTTCGGGCTAGAGTGCTTCTTCACTCCCCCTCACACGGACCTACTCTTGGCCCAGTGAACTTTAGCCATTTAAGGTCCCATATCGTGGGCCTGGCTCTGATACCATGTCAAACGCGAGTCTGGGCCGCACCCGCAAACTAAGAGAGAGAGTCCACTTCACAAGTCCAAGGAGGTTCCATCCCAAAACCATACGGCAATAGGAGGAGTAGCCCCTTAGCCTTATAAAGTGTTTACCTCTCTCTTCTTCAACCAATGTGGGACACTTACATGTGATGACACTTGAGAGGTTTATTCTTCAACAGGCACACTTCAAACTCTTACAGACTACAAACATGCTAAACACATTTGTTTGGTCAGTGAAAACACCTAATCAAAGATGCCATTTTAAGTTATGTATATGATTCAGAAATTTTAAAGCAGAAAACAGAGTTTTTCCTGTGAAATTTCTGCTATGCAAGAATGTAAGCAAACGTCTAACTAGCATAGGAGGTTATTACTAATAACAAAAAAAGAAAAAAAAAAAATGTAAGGGGAGGCATAGAAGCTGATGATGTAACATGGACAATACGCATGTTCAAGGTGTAACATCGTATAGAAAATGTTTTCTCAAGTGTCTTAACACATTTGTTTTCCCTAATGCAACATCTCTATATGTAACATAATTTGTTTTCGCTTGTGTTCACAAACCAAGATAGAGGCAAAAGCTAATCCTGAGACAACCGAGTTTCCACTGCTTGCTACGAGTCTATGAAGTGTTAACTGGAAAGTTGCAGTAAGGTCTCAGGGGACGCGGATAAACAACCAAATGAAGCAAGAGAACATACACGTGGGTGGAACCTCTTTCCAAAGTCTAACTAATTAAATAATCATTAGTGATTATTAAAACGTTAAGTATAATTAAGATCAACTACAAGTAGCTTTAGATATATTAAATACATTAATTAGTACATGTTGAAGGAAATATTATTATATTACTCATCCAAAACATGCAGTGTGATGCTCTAGTAGCTCAAAATAGAAGCTCTGTAGATCTCAATGCCGCTGACTGCTTAAACATGACAGCACGTCAGCACTTAGCTCAAAGATAGGTAGTTAGAATTTGCACGTGGAAACAACGCGAACCAGATCTCATGGGTGCTGATATCTGAATAAATCAATATTACGATATCAAATGTTGATTCATTTTTCTTATTGGATTTGTATATAGATCTCAACAATAATATGGGCTGCCTCGGAAAATAAACCATTTGGAATCTCAATAGCTCTGAGCTTAGTTATGAAACTAAAGTCTATGACAGGACATGGCTGTAATAATCACTAGTTTGGGTTACAGGAAAATGGAGCAACCATGAAGCATGTGAGTAAGATAATGATAACATGGCCTAAGGAATTTTAGATATTCATAGTACATATTCAGAGCTGAATATTTTTTTGTTGTTAAAGATAATTGACTGATTAAAACTGATTTTTTGTAGGTAGATATACATTGTTGATTCTTTGGTGTATTTCTCATAAGCAGTTAATGTTTTAACTTTATATGAAACTGAATTGCTGTTGCTCAAAACTAAATTTTACTGATCTAAAGTGATTTTCTGTTGATTAGTAATGATTATACTTAGTACACAGTGTTATTTTTCTTTAGTTTAGGAAGAATAATCGTATTACCAAAATAAGAAAATCAAACTAGAACGAGGGGGCTATGAACAAGGGCTAGAGGAAGACTACATACCTACATGATTATACCTATTTTTCTTTATTTTTCTTGTGATGCTCATTAGAAAGAACTTGTTGGCTTTGTGACAAATGAATCATATCATTCATCTGCTCATACAAGTATTTTATGTTGCACAAGTTTTGGCATATCGATGAAGAAGAGGGCCTTACTTGAGTTGCCGCCCTCAGCTTACAGAATTGATTCTCAATGCTTGCATTGAGTGGATGTGAAGTGGATGGAAAACTATTTGAACGGGTATGGGAAGAAGTTTTTAGAGTTTCCATTATTTTTGAACTTTTCGACAAATATATGTATATCTTTTTATAGATTTGGAATGAGAGTTATTGTTTCTAATTCTAAAGCATATGCCACACCTATTTATATAACATAACAAAGAGCCTAGAAAAGACCTAATCTAGGAAAAGGATTCCCATGGATTCCGCCTCTGATTCCTCAGCTACACGATTACAGCACACAAAAATCAATGTACGCGAGTGACAAACAGGATAGCAGTAGACACAAGAAAGACAAGCATTTGATTCCCACATGAGCTCTATTACTCATTTGCAGATCTTGTTCTGTGGTTCGCCGTCAGGTAGCAAATATAATATGAGCAGCTTAATTTTAGTCTACGTTAAAAATTGTTGTGCATGTGTTTACCTTGTTGTATTGTCCACAGTAATATAATCCTGTTTCAGAGAGTATGTTTAAAAATTTAGATTATTTTATGAGGGGGTTATGTTGAAGATAAGGAAAAGGGCCAAAAGGCATTATATGGTAATATTGGTCACTTCAACTTCCTATAGAGTCAGTCCATTTTAAAATTAAGGGTCAGCAAGATAAGCAGCTACACTATTGGTAGACAATGACTGAAATGGTTGATGAGCACATGTGCAGAAATATAAATACAAATTCAATCTACAGGAGAAGTAATCCGCTTGGGTTAAAAATTACAGGGTCTTTAGGTTGTACTTTAATGTAAGTGTGGGACGACAATGTACACATGTTTTACACATTATTGTACCTAACAAAATCGTGTCTTTTGTTGGTTAGTTACTTAATCCTTATATGAACTATCAGCAATGGCTCTAGTTCGAGTAATGTACTAATGTGGAACAAATAACAGCATTAAGCCAGTGTCTCCTTTTATTTGCTAGCTGTAAAACTACTAGAAAGACTAGGCAAGTTTGCAGCCATAAACAGTTAAACATGACAGTTTCTAGCTAATGACAAATTGACAATTGGTCTCATTTCCTACGTCCTTTTCCTACACACACACACACACACTCACAAAAAAAAATAAAAAAAAATATAAAAAAAATAAAAAAAATTAAAAAAAATCACCTATAGATCTTTCTCCGTGTAGGGGGAAATACCCAACAAATTTCAGTTTGTTACATAGAAGAAAATGTGACCATTGTGTACCAACAACAGATCGAGTCAGTGATCAAAACACTTAACGACTCTTTTAGGGTACATCATATTGTATTGTATGAAAGGAAACAAAATCTGATAAGAACGGGAAGCGCAAATGGAATACTGCATCTGAAGTTAGTAAGTTACTCAAAAAATTTTATCAATTTATTTAAGCAGCTATAATGGCCAAGCTCCTTTAGATCATTACAAAGGGCACATAAGCAGATAAGCTAGTTGTAGTTAAATATGCTTATATGTGTTTTGATTAATGATTAAAATTTCTGATTTGCTTGAAAGTTATCTTAACACTATACAATATTTTTAATGCATGATACTAGCAGCTAGACTAGGGGATTAAAGTCATTGCCTTTAATCCAATTAAGCTTAGGATCGTCATTGCTTCTAAGGCTCTGTTCACTTCACCTTAAAAAATAATACAATAGTAAAAATAATTTCTATTTAATTAAATAAGTTCGTTTCAGTAAAAATAAGTTTAGTAAAATTCAATAATTTTAAAGAAGAAAAATTATAATACAAAATTAGTAAAAATAATTTCAGTTCAATAAAAATAACTTCAGTTTAGTAAAATTAATTTCAATTCATTAAAAATAACTTCAACTCAACAAAATTAATTTCAGTGTAACCAAAATATATTAAGTGAAGTAAACCAGGCCGGAGTATTACAAGAATTTCACTGAAGAAGTTAATTGTGTTGAATTTTTGTTTTCAGTTTTCTTTATTTAATTTTTTATTTTATAGGTAGCCTTCATGTGGGATTGATAGTAAAGCAATAAAAGCACAATTAATAAATAAATAAAAAAAAAACACTAGTGAGTAATCCCTCTGTTTCACTTTGTTAGTCCCATATAGAATCAATCACAAAAAAAAAATAAGAGAATGAATAATATTTGGAATCTTACATTTTAGTACAAAAATTGCTTAATTAGTTCTATCTTATTAAATGTTGTGATTTTTTTTATTTGGAAAGCATCAATTATTGTTTAATGGGATTGATACCAATTAGAATATTTAATTACTGTCATGTCATCAATCCACTAATGAGATTAGAAATTATAAAACCAAATTAGGAAAATAAAATTAAATTTAAAAAGGAATAGATTCAATATGGGTACATCATTTTGAAATGCCCAAAATAGTATATGGGACTAACATTATGAAATGGAGGGGAGTAATTTTTAAGAGCATTTAATTGTGTGTATATAGTATTTATAT